GTGATACACCCTTTATAGGATAATACAATAACCAGTGCAGTGTTAAATAGAACACCAATTTTATTGTGAAAGATTAATAGAAAAATTAAAAAAAAAAAAAAAGAATTAATCTAGGGGGAAAAAAGAAAGCGGAACCAAAGTGTGGGGATCGTTGCACCACGGTACCCAGGTGAGAGGCACCTCCCTCTTCTCTCAGACAGAGATTTGGAGACGAAGAAGGCGGTTTGCTCTTTCACTCATTCACGCTGTGATTCTGTTTTCCAGGTTGGTATTTAATAAAAATAATTACAAACTGTTCTCTCCTGAAATTTACGGTGGTGTATTGAAGCTGTGAGGAGTCTGTTGTGGAATTTTTGAGGTGTGAAGAGTCGCGTTTATAACCGCGGGAAACGGGCATTGTAAACAATGGAGCTAGCGAGCTAACAATTAGCAGGTGTATACTGTGACTGTATGTGTGATTCTGGGTGCTGGTGTCCTCACTCCCTGGTAATGTTTTATTCAGTTTCTTTGAGATATCCTGACATGTTATGAATGATTGTTAATGTTAAGAGAAGAGAGGTATGTTGTTTAAAACTTAAAGGGAGTTCTCCCCAAAGTTATACAGAAGCAGTTAGGTGTCTAGTCTGTGTTTAAAGATGTATAATAAGTTAAACCGCTATCCCGATGTGTATGATGTTTTCATGTTTTGACTCTAAAGTCATTTAAATATTAATCTACAGCCAAAGAGGGTTTATATTTCATATTATTAAATCAATAGGATGGTGGAATTCTGAAGTTAAAAGAAATAACTATATAAATATAGATTAAAACATGATTTATCCTTTTGATACTAATGCACTTTAAAGAAAGCAATATTTATTTTTGTATAGAGATGATGATTTCTGTGAATGTGTGTGTGAGAGATGTTGCCCACTGATGTGTGGAGAGTAGAGAAAACTGTATTAATGTGTTTAAATTTAAATTAACAAATGAACACTGAAACTGAAACATGTTTATACTAGGGGTATGGTTATTGTTTGATACCATAATTTGTTGAAAATTTGTAATAAAGAGACAGAGATTTGGAGACGAAGAAGGCGGTTTGCACTTTCACTCATTCACGCTGTGATTCTGTTTTCCAGGGTTGCATCTAGGAGAGTTGAGAGCAGTGAACCCCAGTCAAAATCATTTGTTACTCCAGTTACACTATTTGAAACTCGTAACAAACTGTGGGGGCTCGTCCGGGATCTCTCCTCATCACAACCATCGGAGGAGCAGATCCAGAGATACTAGAACCACACGACCAAGGTGACAAGACGCTGCTGCAGGCCAGGAGTCAACCCGTGGGTGTCCAGGGAGGGAGATCAAAGAGAAAAGGATCTTCACCTCGCTTAGGAGCCGCACTGCTGATCCTGAGGCCAACGCACACTAGTCGCTGGTGAGCCACACGGCTGATCCTGTGGTGATCACACACACCAGCATCAGGGGAATCTCATCTGTGATCGGGAAGTCAAAGCGCACACACGCCACTTACCAAGTCACTACACCGCTGATTTACTGAACTAACAAACTACAAAGTGACATCAGGACTACACGCCATGTCAGCAATTCGCAAAGAACTAGTATGGAGCATCAAGAAACAACTATTCAGACTCTCAAGCAACGACATCTATCAGGTTGCAAAAGACATTGCAATCGACAGTCAACACAAGGAAGAGCTGAATCCGAATGATGAAGAAGGCTGCATGGAGTATGTCGTCTCATACATGCAATCTGACACCTTACTAGAACTTGAGGATGAAGGCATGGGTCAATTGTTGGTTTTAAATGATTTGATATGTAAAGTAATTAATGCTAATGCTCCTGTTAATTTTCCAGTGGGTGCATTGGGTGATAGTAACACACATGTTACGCCGAGTCACAGTCCATCCACTACAATCCCAAATTCTGCATCTCAACCTCATTCGCACCCTAACAGCACAGTTATGCAAACACAACCCCACCCTAACACTCATACTAATACAACAACACAGTCAGTAGAAGAACTGAGACAAGTGTATGAAGAGCTGGGTGAGAAACTGCGACGATGTGAATCTACAGCGACCCCACCAACCACAAGTTACCCCCACCAGGGTGAGTCACGGCCATTCTCTATGTCACAGATGATCTCGGAGAGACCAGTAGTGCTGAAGGACCTCTCCTACCTGCAGCGCAGAGACTTCAAAGTACATGGTGGTCAGGTTGGAGACCAGAATTCTGATTTAAATTACAACAATATAAGCAAACAAATCGACGAGGGAGTGAAAGAGGGCTTCGCAGAGGTAGAGGTGGTCAGAGGGGTGTTGAGGATCATCAAACCAGGGGCCTTTAAGGATATGCTTGTAAACAAAGATTCAATTACAGTATCTGAACTCAAAGGCTTCCTCAGGTCCCACCTCGGCGAGAAAGCAACGACTGAGATGTTCCAGGAATTGATGTGCGCCAGGCAATCAGACCAAGAATCGCCACAGCAGTTTCTCTACCGCATGATTGGGCTCAAGCAGAAACTCCTTTTCCAGTCCCGGCAGGCCAGTACAGACATTTCATATGATCCCAAGACCATCCAGGAAGTGTTCCTCCATACTATCTATCAGGGTTTGGGGCCAAAGCACGCTGACCTCCGGCAGAGACTGAGGCCTCTAATCTCAAACAGCCAAGTCACAGATGAGGAAATCCTTCGCCAGGTCATGAAAATAATAAGCGATGAGAATGAGCACCAGCGCAGACTTGGCCAACCCCCCCGACAAAAGGCAACACAAGCACACAGCGCCAAGGTGGAGACAGGAGATTGTAACAACAATGACAAGTCACGGGATGCAGTGTCAGACAATAAAAATCTCCAGACAATACAACAGCTCACTGCTCAGGTGGAGACCCTTACACACATGGTGGCTTCTTTAATTGATCAGCAGACAGCAAATACTCAGGTGTCTTACCCTTTAACTAGGCCAGCTCACACCCAGTCACCCACTCCTTCTCAGTCAACCCCCAGCAGACCTGTCCAACCACAGATGAGACAACCTGTAGTCCAGGTGAGAGGAAGAATAGCTCGTTGTCCAAAATGTACTGAACAGAACTTACAGGAGTGCAACCACTGCTTCGTATGTGGAGAGGCAGGACACAGAGCATTGGGATGTCTGCAACGAGCCAGGGTGCAGGGAAACGGGGCCCGGTCTTTGTGGAGGGACGCCCAGAGACCGGTGAGCAGCTTCAGTCCCAAACAGTAACAAATAACAAACAAATAACAAGACACCCCAAGCAGAACAAACAACAAAAACCACATGCACTTACCTGCCAGAGTAACATCACCTGCAAGGCACCCCTAGTTGGAAAGAAAAGCCTGCTGAAATGTTTGATTGGCGGTTACCCAGCAACAGTCCTGTTTGATTCAGGTTCGCAAGTGAGCATTATTGACCAGCAATGGACTGACACTCACATTCCTAACTATACAGTGAGACCCCTTTCTGAGCTCTTAGAGGAAGAACTCGGCGTCTATGCAGTCACTGGCCATGCCGTCCCATACAGTGGATGGGTTGAGCTCACTGTCAACCTTGCAGGGAATGAAGACCCCAATCTCACCATCCAGGCCCCTTTCCTAGTCAGCCAGCTGCCACTGCCCCAGCCCCTTCTAGGAGCCAATGTACTGGAGGAGATCATCAGAAGGAAGGAGTCCTCAGGCGATGCAGTTGCAACGGTTATCAGCCTTCTCCGCAGTGCATTTGGAATAGAGGAGGAACAAGTCGAGGCCATCGTGAATTTCATCCAGGTGCCCCCCTAGAACATACTGTGATCCAGTCACTATAAGAGTGGGCAAAGACCATGCTATCATTCCCCCTGGCAGAACAGCTAATGTATGGTGTAGGGTGCCCCCAAACTTTGATGTCTCTGACCCTGTTGTTCTATACGAACCGGGTGATGAAAGCGCTGTCTTAGGCCAGTTGAGTGTAGGCGAAGGCCTCTTGGAAATCAGTAACACCCGACGGCCCTATGTTAAGGTGCCCATCTCCAATCACTCAAAACATGAGGTCACCCTGCCGAAGAGAACCTCTCTGGGGACCATTCAACATGTCATCAAGGTTCTTGAGACCGATGCACCAGAGTCACATCAGGCTGATTCCACACCAAGAAAGATGACATCAGTCGGGGTTAATGGCATCGCTTCTCCCAGTACCTCTCCACCCGAGTCCTGGCTTCCGCCTGTCGATATCAGTCACCTCAGCCCTGAACAACAACAGGCAGTAAAGGAAGTACTCTACGAGGAATGCGGAGCATTCGCCCGTAACAGCGACGACATAGGGTGTATCCCCTCCCCTACAGATGGAGATCAGGACTAAGGATGACATTCCAGTTCAGAGATCCTACGCATCCATCCCGAAACCACTCTACAGGGAAGTTAAGGAGTACATCCAGGAGCTGTTGGTTAAAGGATGGATTGTGAAGTCCCAGTCACCTTATTCAGCTCCTGTCATCTGTGTAAGGAAGAAAGATGGGTCCTTACGCCTGTGTGTTGACTACCGGCTCCTCAACAACAAAACCGTGCCGGACCGTCACCCTCTTCCCAGAATTCAGGACCTCACTGACTCCCTGGGAGGCTACGCCTGGTTTTCGATCCTCGATCAGGGGAAAGCCTACCATCAAGGCTTTATTGCTGAAGGATCAAGGTACCTGACTGCATTCATAACCCCATGGGGACTCTACGAGTGGGTCCGAATACCCTTTGGGTTATCAAATGCCCCAGCAGCCTTTCAAAGGAGCATGGAAGGAATGCTCGACACTCTGAGAGATGAGTGCTGTATCCCTTACCTCGACGACGTGTTGTGCTTCTCCAGGTCCTTCGATGAGCATGTGCAGGTGCTACGCAAAGTCCTCCAAGCCTTGCAACACCACGGGGTAAAGCTGAAGCCGGAGAAATGCGAGCTCTTCCGCAAAGAGGTCCGATATGTCGGCCGGTTGGTGTCAGCTGAAGGAGTAAAAATGGACCCCAAAGACCTTGAAGCAGTGCGAGCACTGAAAAACAAGACACCGCAGACAGTTGGGGACGTCAGGCAGTTGTTGGGGTTCCTGAGCTATTATCGAACATATGTGCAGGACTTCTCACGTGTAGCCAAGCCCCTGTACGACCTGCTCCAGTCAAAGCCCAACACCTCTCAGCCCAAGCCGCCACGAGGAAAAACGAAAGGCCACCAGCATTCCTCCCGAACCCCGGTAGAATGGACTATACAACACCAACAGATCCTTGAACAGCTTGTGGACCGGCTGACCAAACCCCCAGTGCTGGCCTATCCTGATTTCAACCGCCCCTTCACACTCCACACAGATGCCTCCCAAAAAGGTCTCGGTGCAGTTCTTTATCAGAACCATGATGGGAAGATGAGGGTGATTGGATACGGGTCACGCACACTAACATCGGCGGAGCGAAATTATCACCTACACAGCGGAAAGCTTGAATTTCTCGCGTTGAAGTGGGCGGTATGTGAAAAGTTCCGGGATTACCTGTTCTACTCCCCACACTTCACAGTCTTCACAGACAACAATCCCCTCACCTATATTCTGAGTACTGCCAAGCTCAACGCAGTGGGTCACCGGTGGGTGGGGCAGCTGGCCGATTTCCACTTTGACATCAAATACCGGCCAGGCAAAACCAACATCGATGCCGACACCTTATCACGCTGTCCCCTGGACATTGACACGTTCATGGCTGAGTGTTCGGAAGAGTTATCGGAGGAGGCAGTGTGTGCTGTATGGGAAGGAAGCCGGAGAGCACAACAAGGAGATGTGGCTTGGGTGGCAGCTCTCAACGTAACATCCAATAGCCAACCTCACATTGAGCCTCTGCAGGAAATTAATCATGATGAGCTGGTGAGGGAACAAAGAAAAGACCCCGCTATTGGGAAAGTGATGGAGTTGAAGGAAAACGACACACCACTAACAGAGGATGACAAACAGAGGATGGACACACACGCAAGGAGGCTGTTAAGAGAGTGGAGCAGATTACACATAGAGAATGACCTTCTCTACAGGAAGACTGCAGGTCGACAACAACTGGTCCTGCCCACCACCTACAAACGAACAGTGCTCACCCAGCTGCATAACAACATGTGTCATGTGGGTGTTGAGAAAGTTCTGAGCCTAGCGAGGGAGCGATTCTACTGGCCTTTCATGAAAAGAGAGATAGAGGAGCATGTGACCAGGAAGTGTTCTTGCATCAAACAGAAGAAGTCAGCCACACATGAAAGAGCACCAATGGGAAGTATTACGTCAAAGTCACCCCTCGAGCTGGTGTGCATCGATTTCCTTCACCTGGAAACCTGCAGGGGTGGATATCAGTATATCCTGGTAGTGGTTGATCACTTCACCAGATTCGCACAAGCCTACCCTACCAGGAACAAGGCTGGTAAGACGGCTGCTGACAGGCTCTTCAATGATTACATCCCCAGATTTGGATATCCGGCAAAACTCCACCATGACCAGGGTCGAGAGTTTGAGAATGAGCTCTTCAAAACTCTCAGGCAGTTGGCTGGTGTCGCCCACTCGAGAACCTCTCCGTACCACCCCCAGGGCAATCCTGCGGAAAGACTCAACCGCACACTACTGCAGATGCTCCGCACCCTAGGAGAGAAAGAGAAGGAGAATTGGAAGGACCACCTGCCCCATGTACTCCATGCATATAACTGTACGAAGCATGAGGCAACAGGTTTCTCCCCGCACTATTTGTTGTATGGCCGACATCCTCGCCTCCCTGTTGACATCCTTTTCGGCCTCATAACAGATGAGGGAACTGACACTAATGGACCAAGAGGATATGCTGAGAAATGGGCAGGAAAAATGGTTGAGGCATACCGAATAGCAGACGCAAACAGCCGACAGTCCAGCTCCAAAGGAAAGGCATACTACGATAAAAGGAGCAGAGGTGTGGTTCTTCAGGCTGGGGACAGGGTCCTTGTACGCAATCTCAGTGAACGAGGGGGCCCTGGAAAGCTTAGACCGTACTGGGAGCAGCTGATCTACATCGTGAGAGAACAGGTTGGAGATAATCCTGTCTACAAAGTAAGCCCTGAGTCGGGAGGCCGACCAGTTCGCACCCTACACAGGAACCTCCTGTTACAAGTCAACGACCTACCTGTAGAGTCCCTTCAGAACCGGACCACCAACACAGCTGAGTCACGAAAGAGAAAGAAGAGAGCTTCAGACACCCCAAAACCCGCACGAGAGACACAGAGCCCAGATATAAGTGACTCTGAGGAAGAGGAAGGCGTGCCTCGTTACTGGCTGCGAATACCGACGGAGAGACCAAGAGCTGAAAGTCACTTACCTGAGCCACATGTTACTCCTGACTCCCAAAACAGATCTGAACAGAATGAGACCTACCTGGGAGAAACAAGCCACGCAGAACCCGAACAGGACAGAGAGAGTGTTAGAGGGGAAGAACAGGGGACATCCAGTGAGGATGAACAGGACATAGAGCAGCTTCGACCTGCAACCGTTCAAGAGGAACTGCATGCTGTCCATCAAGAGAACAATGCCCCCCACACCACAACCTGAACATCAGATCCCGCTGAGACAGTCCACCAGAGAAAGGCGGCCAGGTTATGTGTTTACTTATCCATCCCTGGGTCGACCAGCTTATCACCCGCGGCCAACTGTGAGTGCAGTTGGAATCCAACCAGTACAGTGTACTCACCAGTGTCTCTGTACACCATACTTTCACCACTTCCAACCCCCCATCCATCGCCCCCATACCCTCACTTACCTGTCGTGTACCCAGCTCACTGTGGATGAGACGCCATGAGAGACAATTACATACATTTCATACTCACCTGAAGAGACCTGAAACACCATACATACACTATACATTTCATACTTACCTGTTGAACCACTCATACATCATACCTTTAATACCTACCTGAATCACAAATACTCTATACATTTTATACCTACCTGTTGAAACATATACACCATACATTGCATACCCACCAGATGAGATTTGACACACGCACTTTAAAGGACTTAAAGGATACACTCATTGAGAGTTGGAATGTGTTTTGAAAAAAAAAGAGAAAATGTATGTTCAGAGTGAAATTATTGAGGATATCTCGTGTCAGGAGCCACTTTTATTTGTTGGGGAGTGTGTGATACACCCTTTATAGGATAATACAATAACCAGTGCAGTGTTAAATAGAACACCAATTTTATTGTGAAAGATTAATAGAAAAATTAAAAAAAAAAAAAGAATTAATCTAGGGGGAAAAAAAGAAAGCGGAACCAAAGTGTGGGGATCGTTGCACCACGGTACCCAGGTGAGAGGCACCTCCCTCTTCTCTCAGACAGAGATTTGGAGACGAAGAAGGCGGTTTGCTCTTTCACTCATTCACGCTGTGATTCTGTTTTCCAGGTTGGTATTTAATAAAAATAATTACAAACTGTTCTCTCCTGAAATTTACGGTGGTGTATTGAAGCTGTGAGGAGTCTGTTGTGGAATTTTTGAGGTGTGAAGAGTCGCGTTTATAACCGCGGGGAAACGGGCATTGTAAACAATGGAGCTAGCGAGCTAACAATTAGCAGGTGTATACTGTGACTGTATGTGTGATTCTGGGTGCTGGTGTCCTCACTCCCTGGTAATGTTTTATTCAGTTTCTTTGAGATATCCTGACATGTTATGAATGATTGTTAATGTTAAGAGAAGAGAGGTATGTTGTTTAAAACTTAAAGGGAGTTCTCCCCAAAGTTATACAGAAGCAGTTAGGTGTCTAGTCTGTGTTT